TTTGCAGGGAATAGTCATATCCTGGGTTGCCATTTTGTTGCAAGAAAAGGTGGTTCCCTCTACTTCGTGGTATCCTGCCTCAGGCACATCTCCTGGCTTAAGGTCCCCACACACCTTACGATAATCGTACGATAATCGCGGGAAATCCCGCGATCGTACGATTATCGTAAGGTGTGTGGAAGCCGTGCGACCTCTACTACTGTAAGGTCGCACGACTTAACTTATGGACATGTTCCAAAACCCGCCGAGCATCGTACGGTGTTCGGCGGGTTTGTGGCATGTCCGTACGATAAAAGCCATACGGGCCGGTGTGCGCAAGCGGCACACTGCCCGTTCGGCATTGCGGTCATCGGAAGCCCGCCCCTCGGGTCGTGGCTTGCGATCATCGCAAGTACGATCTGCCTATGCAAGATAGGCAGATCGTACGTTTTTTTTAGTACCTTACAACCATCGCAAGACAAAAGTCATTGGCCTTCTTTATGTTCTGCTTTGTCACTATGGTGTCAGTTCACAAAGCGTTACGTTATTTACTCTCTAGTTATTTACCTCTCCATATTTTTTATTTAAAAACATGTTATTCATGAAAGTCCCAATCATTATTTAGCATGTTCTTCAAAGCTTATGACTGAAGCGTTAGAAAGTTGTTGTTGTTGTTGTTGTTGTTGTTGTTTTTACGTGTTCGACATTATTTTGGCAACTAAAGCGTAATTTTTGCTCCGAGTTATTTGTACGTCTTGAATCGTAGAATTAACGCTTAAGGTGTTAAAATATGTTTGATACATTCTGGGACCAGAAGGCGAGGAGAACAGTGCCTACAAATGTGTTTTTAAGACTGCACTGTTGTATGTAAACAACTTAATTAAAACTAGAAGTTTACTTGTTACAAAGTTTACGAGTTACAACCTCACTCCAAAATAAAAAAAATAATAAAAACAATAAAGTGTGTGCGTGTGTATATCTAATATTTAACCACCTCCCGTCCATGGCCGTTCCTGAACGGCCGGACAGGAGTCTTGTAGGAGCTGGGACGTCCTGCCCCGCTCATGCTCGGCGCGCACGAGTTGGGAATTTGTCAGCATGGAAATAGCCAGCGACGGCTGTTTACATTCAAGCGATCGGGCGGCTGACACTGGCACGGTGAAGCTCTCAGTGGAGATTAAAGGAAGTTCAGTACACAATCTCCCTTTTTGATCTCTTCTCTTGTCCCCGAATGCAGGAGGTGCATAAACGTCAGTCAAAGTACCGCAGAGCTAAATACTGAAAAATGGCCTGGACAGAAGGGGGTGTAAACACCTGGTCTTCAAATGGTTGAACATAAAAATAAAATGATGCCACCAATGGGCAATCACATTTCACACAATTCAATGGGCCACAGGTTATTCAGCGGCAGCTTTGGTATTTTATTTTTATGTTTAATTATTCTTGTTACCACAAGGGATAATTTCTTTACCCTTTATGCTCCCACGGGCCAAATAACTTTTCTTATGTTTGTGATGTTTTGGATGCAGGATGGCAGGATATTTATTGCCATTAGATGCTCAGTGAGGTGTGCAGCTGTTGCTTTGGTACAAACCTCTGTTGACAGGTTGTCCATGGATGTCACATCCACATCTAGTATAAAATGACCATAATTGGGAGATGTGTTTTTTACATGCGTTTATGCTAGACACTTATTCTTAGTGTGTCCCTGAATTTTTATCTTTGTCATCCCCAGGTTTTGCAATTTGAAGTCCTTTTTACAAAAGAATATTTAATAAACAAGCCTGCCATGAGATTGGGTTCAATAGCAGAGACTGTATTGATTCATACTTGCCTGTGCCGCTTCCTCTAGGAATTCCTACTGCTCGTGGGCCCACCATCTTTCTTTGTGCATGCTTTGGGCTGGCTTCACAGGCTCTACTGCTGCTTCTGCAACTCTAGATCCAGCTACCTCTTATTGAAATAAGATGTTAATGGTCCCTGTTGAGAATGTATTCTCAACAGGGACCATTGTGGACAAGAGGTCCCTGTTCTCAATTTATTAATGTTCCTGTTATCAAGGACCATGTGGACAAGAGGTTAGAAACCCTCCTTTTAGGCTTTATTTGCCCTTGCAGGCCTGGCTATGTAGCCTCCAGTTGTCATTAGGGATGTCCAGATACCAGTGCCGATACTTGGCATTTTCACGAGAACTACCAGGGTTGCTGCAGTTGCAGCTGGGACCGGGCTCTGGCTCCACCACTGTCCTGATATCATTAGTCTGTATTGTTTTAGAAAAACTGTCGCATGACACCAACAACAATGTATCAGTACTTGTATCTGTGAGTACTTGGACAAGTATCAGTACTTGTACTTTTTTTATATATTTATAAATAAAATGTGCAAAATAACACGTATAGTCCCCTCAGTCCCCCCGGTTGTTACGCCACTGCAGCTGGTGATACAAGCGATTGAGCGTCTATAGAGACGCTCGATCGCTTGACTGTGTTAAGCTCCCGGCCGGCCGTGTAATTACAACGGCCGGCCAGGAAGCTGCTCGTCGGGCTCCACCGTCCACTCGTCACAGACAAGCAAATGTGCATTTTATGTACATTTTAGAGGAAATTTAATGCTGAATTCAAGGCAAAAATATGCAGTACAAAAAAAGTTATGCTTTTTTAGTCTAAATAAGAAACACAAGTATGATTCAGTTAAGAAGTGGATGTTAAGTGCAAACCCTGCTGGCCAATCACAGTGCTTGTTTTGGGGACCAATCAAATGGCGGTAACTGCAATATATCTTGTGTTCTGAAGAAGTTCTGAAGAAAGGTGTAAGTGAAGTGTAGATTGTGTGAATATTGTTAGTATAACATTTTAACATGTAGATAAGTACAGCAGTGGCACCAAAGGAAAGAGTTGATTGGTCACCCAGGAAAAGGACCAGGATTGTTTTATTAAGTTGGGTACTTGAACAGAGGTACCACTGTGTGTATATGCATATGTGCAGGGCTTGAAAAATCCACTCGTCTCGTCTGTGACGAGAGGTCGGTGGAGCCCGACGAGCAGCTTCCCGACCAGCCGTTGTGATCACACGGCAGGCCGGGAGCTTTAGATTCTAAAAAAAAAAAAAAGTAATACAAAAATTAAAGAAGCATAAAAAAAACCACACAAATGTGTTTAAGTCCTGCGCCCCCCACATACACACGCAGATATGCGTCGGGTGCGCCTATGTGCGGAAACGACGATTGTGCCGCACATGTTACATATCACCGCGAACGTCTGAGTGAGAGCAATAATAATTTTAGTGCCATTAATCACTGATAACACTAAAGTCATGAGCGGTAAAAACGTTTTAAGCGTCGCCTATGGCCAATTTTCAGTGTGGTCGATTTTTGCGGGCGCGCGCGATTGTAAGGCTTGACGTGTTTGGTGTCTATTTACCCGACGTGACCCCGACTTTTATATTTTATCAAAAATATGGTTAAGAATAGATGTTTTATAACAACGTAGGGAAACTTTTTTTTTAAATTTACAGTACTTTTTCATTCTATAGTAAAAAAAATAAACTTCCCCCATTGGTGATTTAAATAATATATACTTGAATACACTGCCACTCCACCTCACGCCAAGGATGCTTCACAGGGAGGCTTCACAGTATGCGATCCAGTGTGTTCCTGCACGGTTCGCTGCTCGAACGCACTGGAAGAGGTGTGACCGGGCCTTAAGTCCAGACTGTTGCAGTTCAGCATCTTGGTTGCATGTGACAATCTGGCTCAGTTCCTCGTCCTCCCTATTCATTTGTCCAGCAAGGATAGGCTTGTGGTGGATTTCCAGCCTGGCATTGAAGTGGGGGAAATCCTTTTCCTCAATGGTCCCTGAAGGTGCTCACATATGGATGCCAGCCTGTCAGACTGTGGAGGAGTCCTTGTGTACCTCTAAGATCAAGGAACACGGTCAATGGATAAATCTCATCTCCTGATCAACAATTTAGAGCTCAAGGCCATTCAGTACTCTTGTAAAATCAGTTTCTTGAAATACATCAAAGGATACAAATTGAGGCAGGCTGTGAGTGGGAGGGGTTATACAAGGCTGTCTTGCAGCTTAGATCGATTTGCCAGTGTAAATTCACCTGAAGGTAGCTGCTCAACCCATCTGTTGAATGAACTCGCGTTGTCCTGTGATAAACTTGAAGCAAGTTTTAGGCCCCATTCACACCAGGGCGGAAGCATTTCAGTGCTTTTTCTGCAAGGGTGTTTTTGAGCTGAAACGCAATTAAAAACGCTGGTCAGTGTGCTTCCATTGAAATCTATATGGAAAACGCGCTGATTGGCGCAAAAAAAGTAGCTTGGTGCATTTTTAGGTGGTTCGGATCGCGCAGAGCCGCACGCTTGCATGAACAGTCCCCATAGGAATATATAGGATTGTTCATGTCGGCATTTCAGCGTAGACAAATCCACACGAGCGAACTGCCCTGCTGTGAACGGGCCTTACAGGTAAGACCAAAATCATGTTGTTTTGATGGTAACTAGATTGATAGTTTTAATTTAAAATCCGAAGAACATTTAGCAGAAATTTTTTTAGTACAGTGGTACCTCTGTTCACGAACTTAATTTGTGTTCACGAACTTAATTTGTTCCACGATTCTGGTCGTGAACCGAATCAAACTGTGATTAGACCGCGATCTCGACTAGAGGAAGCCACGACCAGTGTCCGAGCAGGGAAGATGGCTGCGTCACCCGATGTGGAGTTCGCGAACGGAAGCAAAATTTTGCTGAACTTCCTCTTCGCGAACCGAATTGTTCGCAAACAGACGGAAGAATAAAAAGACTGTGTCTGAAGGGCAGGAAAATGTTATCTGAGGCTATCAGAGCTGTAGTTTGTGAACTGAGGTACCACTGTACATTACCTCTCCCATAGCATTTTCCTGCATAATATTGTGAACCTTACAGGCTCAGTCCACTTGATGGCCATGTCATTTTCAAACTTTGTCACATTGTCAGTTGAACTTTTTAAATTTAACCGTTTTACATTTTTTTTCTTCAGGGTTTGGATACAGGGAAAGTCGTTCTTCAAGTTCTTCGGAGTCATCGTTTAAGGAAAGACCTGCAATAAATTGGTCTAAGCTTAGAGAAAATCAAGCCAAATATGAAGAAATGAAGTGGGCTGGTATGTAAATCAAATATTTTTTGATAGGTTTGCTTTGAATTTTGGGTTATAATTGCATTGGCATGCACAGTCCAAGATGGTGTCACATTAATTCTGTTTTAATTTTTCTTTAATTACCAGGCCATGTTTCAGTTTTCAGTGCTATGATCATTTGGCTGACCATTACTGAAGAAGGGATGGAGCTTTCTTTTGGTGGTAGTTTATAACTGCTGAGCTTTTTTTTTTACTATAAAAAGGGATAAAGTGAAAACCAAATCTTTGCCTTAGCGATTCTCTGAGACCGCTTGTCTGTTACTCCCTACTGAAAGCTTTTGTGCAGGGGGTTGCTTATATTGAGGGACCTCAAGCTTGTGTTTGGCGACTTTTCAATACCCGCTCTTTGAACTAATCCTGAATATCCCCCTGGCTTTACTCCCTTGAAAGGTGGCCTTCCTTGTCACCACAACTTTTGTGAGACAAGTTTCTGAATTGGCAGATTTGTCCTGCAAGGAACCCTTCCTTGTTTAACCACGATATGGTGGTTCTGAGACCTAAGGTTTCCTCCCTCTCTATAGTAGTCTTTGCTTTTCACCTTAATTGGGACATTGCTTTACATTCCTTATGTCTTCTCAGAAAAACATCCAAAGGATTTCCCTTCACTTTACCTCTCGGCTACTGCCTTTGTCCTGAAGTCTGATTTCCTTTTTTCGTCATGTGGGGTCAACCAGCCTCTTTCCATTGTTGCTAGGTAGCCAATTTCCCCATATGCTAGGGTAGCCAAGTTAGTTGCAGAGCGGTACATAGAAAGCTGTTCGCAGACAACCAGAGGTAGGGTTCAGTTTCTTTCAATGAATACAGAGAACAGGATATTACGGTGAAAACAAAAATGGGATTTTTATACCTGTAAAATCAGTTTCTTTGAGTACATCACAGGACACAGGAACCTAAATTCTTAACCACTGGGTTATGCAGCTACCTTCAGGGGACTGGACCCTGCAAAATCAATCAAAGCTGTAGGAAAAGCCCTGCATTCCCAGTATGCCTCATCAAGAAAAAAGGTTCCTTGCTGCACTCCTTACCGAGATTCCCATGTAGATATACAAGCGGGTGCTCGAAATGACTGCGCATGTCGCCGCCACATGTAGATAGTTGAAGAATGTCACCCGCACACCAAAACGATGTATACAGCAATTAAGTGTTCATTTATTGACGAATGCGGTCTCTCATTTGCTACCATCAGGGGCCTCTTTAGGCTGGTCTTTTTTGATATTTTTTTTTGTCCTACTGAAGGTGGCACTGACATCCGGTAATTAGAGATTTAAGATTTCCGTGTGATCTTTTAGTGAACACAAAGAAAAGTATCATGGCGAGTGCAAAAATCCTATCTATAATAAAGTAAATATGTACAAAACTGCAATACATTTTCTTTTAAATTGATATATTGTTTTACATGTTTTTCTTGCTTTTAAAGAAATGCCTGCAATTGAAAAGGCTTTCTACAAAGAATCTCCAAGTGTAGCATCAATGTCTGCAGAAGATGTGGAAACATGGAGGTAAATAAGGGCAAAATTACTACTTGCAGTTAAAGTATAAGGGCTTCTATAAGGGCTTCTATAAGGGCTTCTATAAGGGCTTCTATAAGGGCTTCTATAAGGGCTTCTTTGTCTATATCGCAACTCTCGGACTTCCACTTTGACTGATTTTACTCCCATCTGGAGGACTCTGCCCTATTTTTTTTTTTTTTCTTTAGAACTATACACAAGGATGGGATCACAGGTCAATATGTTGACCTGTGATCAGGTTTTAATATGGATTACTTTTAAACACTGTCATATAGCTCCTGGTCACTTGGCAATGATTCAGAACTGTTAGGATGGACTCCTGGTCATGTGGTCACTGCCAATTGCAGTGAAAATGTCCAAGGACCTGTAGCACACCTTACCGGGCTTCCCATGTGGAAAAAATGGGTGCTCGTAATGACTATGGATGGCGCCGTATCAGATAAAATGTTGTATGGATGTCACCAGCACTCCAAGAATGACGGAATAAGTCAAGATTTTAGTGAATCTTCATTTTATTTTTGAAGTCACTTAAAGTGGAAACAAGCGCTTTCGGGGCCGCGCAGGGTCCCCTTCATCAGGCTTAAAGTGAACATTGCAGAGTTTATACCATCACCATTATATATACAAACACACAGGACTGATTAACACATGAGACCACCCTATTGACGTCATAGTGACGTCATAATTCCCGCCATTGGTTTTCTGTAAGTACTGATCGCGGGGCTGAGAACTGGGTGTATTGTTATGTGTGTGGTTTTCTGTAAGTACTGATCGCGGTAGGGTGAGAAGTGATACCTATAGATCCTTGTAGTCCCCTAGAATGGCCATTGAGCACAGGCAGTTTCCTTACAATTGCATCCACAGAGCAACTTATGAGAGCGTCTCAAGAGGGCCACATATGACCGGCTGGTCTTGATTGCCCAATCATAGGGGTCTATTCACTAAAGGGTGAAGAGTTTGGAGAAGGCAGGAGAAGGGAACAATCTAGGACAACATAGCTGAACTGGAAAGTGAGCTGAATTGGAGAATTTTTCCAAATCGGCTATTTTGGCCTAGATTGTTCACTTCTCCTGTCTTCTCCAAACTCTTCACCCTTTTGTGAATAGACCCCATAGTGTTCCTTCACAGCCGTACCCTGGTTCCAGCCAGAAGTCATCTGTGTTTGGGGCCACGGGTTTGGTGGTTTGCAGTCCAAGCTAGAAACTAAGGCCCATCTTTACTGTGGGCATTTTTGCCCAACTTTGCTGTTTGTTCCTGATGAGTATCGCCTGTTCTGGGAAGGGGCATTCTTTGCTGGGTGCAAGTGGACTCAGGGCTACCTATAGGCACAGGGCTGATGTTTGTTGGTGGGGGCTGCAAGTGTCCTGCTGACCCCAGTCTAACCACTTTGGTTCTTCGCCCATGGCTGTGGCTGATATGACTGGGAGGGCTTCCAGTTGCCCCACTATAGTGCTGTCAGAGCAGGCGTCTTCTCTGGTTTGTGTGGGCTGCGGCCTTGCTAATGAGAGTTCTTCAGTCCCCTTCTGTGACTCCTGTGCATCTGTTTTATATGTCTTAGATTTTGTGTCGGATAATTCGGGGATCCCTCTGCCTTTTGAGGATTTTACTACAGCCACTACTGCTTTGTTTCCCAGATCGAGTGGGCTTTGGCTCATGCTCTGATTCGCATGCCCACTGAGGTGTCTAATGTTAAGGGGACACGTGTCTTCTGTATGTGACGCATCCATTCCTAAGGACTCTGATCCGGCTCTGTCAAGTGGTGATGAGATGCCATTGGCATCAGTCATTCTTTTAAGAGGAGGAGCTTGTCTGTGCACTCCATGAGGAAAGCCCTTAGATTCGAGGATACACCCAGTTCATCTGGGGTACACCCAGTTCCTTTTGGGACTTATAAACCTTGTCGTTCAAGCAAGGGTTTCCCATATAACTCTTTTTCACTTCATTTTTTCTTCATCTAGAGGCAGAGCCAGCTGTGTCCGTTCCGCCAGTCAGCGCTGGCGGAGGGGGGAATCCAGCCCCTCCCCTGTCACGGCAGAGAGCCGTGACAGGATCGAGAGGTGAGCGAATGCCGGTATGTGTTCGCTCACCTCCCGATCTACTGAGCCGACCTGTGACAGTCTCATTGTCACAGGTCGGCTAGAACTATGAGGTGAGTGGAAAGCACTCACCTCATAGTTCTCCTTTAACAAATTCCAGCTGAAGTCTGTTTTTAATAGGGGATTCTTTGTATCAAGGGGGTTTTCTTGCATCTATAGACATTAGAGATGCCTATCTTCATGTGCCTATTTGTTGCAGCTATTGACAATTGATTTGGTTTGTAGTGGGGAAGGACCATTGCCAGTTGACTCCGTAGCCACCAGTAGGGATCGCCTCTAGGCTGTGTTTCTGTGTTTGTACCTAGCGTCTTACTCCTGCAAGTAGCAGGAGTACTCCTGCAAGGTCTACCTATCTTTGCTGTGTTCTTCAGTGAATGTAGAGAAAATTATTTTATGGCAAGCACAAAAATGTATATTATTGTATGCAGGTTTTGTAAACCAAGTGTTTGGAACTTCGCCAGCGTGGTTTGTCAACTGACATACTATTGCATGATGCATAAAGTGACTTTTTAAAGCTAAAATTTAAAGCAATCCCCTACAGATTAAATACATATATGGAAGCTGTTGTAACCTCAAACGATTTTCATTTCTATGCATCCAGAGAAAAACACAGCTTTTCTTATAGCACAGCCAGGCAACTGTCAATTTTACTTGGTAAAATTTAAGGAATAGACTGTTGACACCACCCTGCCCATTGGACATTGAAGGAGCAACAGCAGACGGGTGTGATCATTTCTCTGCCTACTTTGCTCTCTTTCAATTCGTATGTTTCTTGTTGGCACTTGTGCGTGCCGTGTACTGCCCCTTCTGCTTCCAGACTGGGTGTTGCTGTATGAGGAATTGCAGAGCCTTATACCAAGTCAAATTCAGGTACTTATATTAGTTGTAGGGATGCACCGAAACCAATTTTCCCAGACCGAGTACAAGTACCGATATTTTTCCTGAAGTATTCGTCGATACCAATTACTAGGGGTGCACGAAAATGAAATTTTCAAAACCGAAAAAAAAAGTCGGACCGAAAACAGACCCCTGATAAATAGAAATTATTTATAGAAAAAGAAATTAAATAGAAAAAGAGATTGAGAACACAGTCATCAATCTCTTTTTCTGCAGCCCCTGTTATAAGTGAACAGGAAGCCTCTATACTGAGTGTTCCTGTTCATTCATAACATGTGGAGATATTATGTAGAGCCAAAGGAAATCTCACCGCTCCAATTCCTTAGCCACCATCAGGACTCTCCAGGTGCTGGTCCAATAGGTGCGTCTCCACCTTAGAATGTAGCAGTATACGAACAGACCGCACTATCCAGAGAATTCCAAAACTGCAGATTTTATTGAAATTTACAGCAAATCCAGTATATCAGTGAATAAAGTGTATAAAGCAACAAATGCCAGCACTGCACAGCCCCAACCAACTACAACCTCACATGTTTCACCCGCTTATTCATAGAGGTGGAAGATATTGTGGAGATATTATGTTTACTATATCCACAATCATGAATGAACAGGAGGTGATGTAGATCACTTACCATTTCATAATTGGGGACACAGTAAACATACTATGTCCTCAATTATTTACAAACACTCAGCGATCGCTAAGTGCTTGTTCCCCCTCTCCAACCTGGATCGGCTTGTCACAGGAGGATGAGCGAGCGGTGCCGAGAGGAGAGCTCGGTCTTCTCTGGCAGGTGACACCTCCCCTGCACCGCGGACCCGGCCTCCTGTGATAGCTGTCTCTGCCCCCACACCGCCACTCTCCCAATCTGTCACAGGGGGCGGTGCGGAAGGAGAGCCAAGCCTCCTGTGACCGCAATGACAGCTGTCACCGCCGCTCTCCATCCTGATCTGTCACAGGAGGCTGAGCAGTGCGGGAGGAGAGGTACTGGCCGCTGACATCGATCTCCTCCCGCACCGCTCGGCCTCCAGTGACCGTTTCTCTCCTCCCCACTGGGACACAAAGCAGCTCCCAGCTGGGAGGGGAGTAGGGATGCACTACTATTTTGGCCAAAAGATGGCACTTTTGGCATTTTGACAAAAGTGCCATTTTCGGCCGATATGTTTCGGCGACTGAAATTTTGGTGCATCCCTACCAATTACCAATACTTTTTTTTTTTTTTTGTATGTGTGTCATGTGACACCTTTTTTCTAAAACAATAAAGACTAATGATTTTAGGACAGTGGTGGAGTGTCGGGGCCTGGTCAGAGCTGCAACCGTTGTGACCCTGGTAGTTCTGTCACGGACTCTAAGCTTTACAAAGGACTACAAATCCCAGCAATACATTATATACAGCAGTACAGAATACCACCAGCTATAGAGAACTACAAATCCTATCAATATATTATACAGCAATGCAGAATACCACCAGCTGTAGAGGATTATAAAGCAATGCAGAATAATATAAAGCTACATACTGTGTTGCTCCGGGGTGACAGCCTGATGTCTCCAGGGTCTCAGGGGGGCTGTCAGAAGGGCTTTGCGGGTTCTCAGTAGGGGTGTTAGGAGGGCTGTGCGGCTTTTTACCAGGGGTCTGGAGTCGGGCAGCAGGGGTCCACAGGAAGGAGGACGACTAGATGTGTTGCCAGCACTGTAAGCAGTGTCATGAGGTCCCCAACAAGAGCGGGGCTCTGCGGCAGCTGCTTGCTTTTAAAATGCCCGTATCAGCGCTTCGTATTGGGGCATTTTTTATCATGAGTGCTCATGAAAATGCCTAGTACCGGTGTATCCCCTAGTAATTCTTTAAAAAATAATAATTTATTGAATCTTCTTTTCAGAGCAGCATTTGTTTCATTTGTACAGCGCTGTATATTTTAAATGTTTTTCTATATAATTTGTTTATATATTTTCTTGTTTAGGGCTTGAGAAATTATATGCATATGTAAGTGGCTCGTGTTTTTTAATCAAATACATTTTGTTTTTTATAGGAAGGACAACAATAACATTATCTGTAAAGACTTGAAAGATATTGATAAAAGGCCAATCCCAAACCCTGTCCGCACTTTTCAAGAAGCATTTCATCCTTTCCCAGACGTTATGACTGCATTAAAAGATGCTGGGTTTGAACGGCCTACGCCAATTCAGGTATATTGTGCGAGGATCCTGTGTGGGGCGCTCACCTTGGCATTCAGTGCAGCATGTGGAGTTGCAACATTGTGCTATACAGGTCCAGAGTTGTGGTTGAGCCCCCTTCAGTAATGGGATGTACTCTTGTGCCTAAAAGGTTTAGCATGGTGTTTTTGGGAGGACTGCTACTTCTAAATTTTGCCACTATTGTTGGCTTGCCATTGCCTTTTTTCCCCCTACACAGCCTCACTCTGGGGTCCGTACTACGCATGTGTCAGCTATTTTCTTTCTCCTCCTGGCATGTCCTGTGAGCTGGCCATACACTGCTGGTCATAGGGAGGGGGTAGTCTATACACCAACTCACTGGGTCACCATTTCTGCCTTGACGTGTCTAGTCAAGCTCGGACCTCCGCAGTTGTAGGTACCTGGTACTTAGTACAATGGCAGATCATAGACTTGGGGATGTGTTGCCTCTGCGACTATTCAAACCAACAACTGTTCTGGGGAATGTTCTGTCCCTTCTAGGGACACGGTTTATGACAGTCCTCTGCTCTGCTCCTTTTCCCTGTCGCTGCCCGCCTCAGGGTCCTACTTAGAACCATCCAGGACACCCTCTTCTACCCTATTATCTGGAGAAAGGTGTACTCCTGTAATAGCTTAGTTCTTAGGGGAAATATCTGACCTGTTGGACCACAGGCCCCTTTATTTTTCCCGGGGTCCCACTCTGACCTTCTTCTGTATGCCTTTTGCGCTCCTGGAGTAAGAAGGGGCTGCTTCCAATTTGGTGGACTCCTTTCCAGGATGAGGATTTGTCTCCTGGCACCTTTTCTAAGATCAAGGGCACCATTTCTGTCCTTGTGAATGCAGTGTGTACTTGTTTACAGTTACAGCCACCTATGTTGGCCTTGCCCAAGGTCACTAATCTTGGTTCTTTAAAAATGCTCAAACCAGCAAAAACCTTTCATGTACACTCTTTTACAGCTGGTGACTGTAGACCTAGGATCACGCAAAAAAGGTGTTAACTCCTCGGCAATGCCGTGCTGAAGAAGGTTTCCTTAAGATATGGGCTGTTCTTGTTGTAGACCCAGCTATCACTTGTTTGAGCAATACTTTAACAGTCCCTGTAAAGGATGTCCCTGTTTTCATGGGCCATGTGGCCCAGAGGTTAGAAGCCCTCTTTAAAACCTTATTTTTTTCTTGCAGGCCCTGCTATGCAAGCTGCTGGTAGGTCCAATAAAATATAAGAATGGGAGATTAATCACAAACGACCAGGAGAAGGCTGAGGTATTCATTTTTCTCATCCATATACACAAGAAAAATACGGGTTTAATGGAGATTAGAATGCGAGTAGCTTAGTGCGCAAGATACCGCAGTGGTTGACGGAAGCCAGGGTTCAACACAGACTAGAAAAACTTAGTGCAAATAAATCGTTAGGACCGGATAACCTGAACCCCAGTGTCCTTAGAGCTCGGCCACGTTATAGCAAGACTTTTATTCCTAATTTTCAAGGATTCCTTAATGACTGGAAGGGTACCATATGATTGGCGTAAAGCAAGGGTGGTAGCGATATTCAAAAAAGGCTCAAGATGCCAAGCGGGGAACTACAGACCAGTCAGTCTAACATGAATAGTATGCAAACTATTTGAGGGAATGATACAGGACTATTTAGTGGATTTTGTTGGTGACAAAGGTATACGTGATGATCGCAATGGATTTATGCAGGTCCACTCTTGTCAGACTGACCTACTAACATGCTATGAAGAAGTGAGTAGAGATCTGGTTGGAGGAAGGCCGGTGGATGTTGGTGTACCTGGATTTTGCAAAAGCGTTTGACACTGTACCGCATAAACGCTTAATACACAAGCTTAAATCTATAGGCATAGATGAAATGGTGTGTACATGGATTGAGAACTGGCTACAGGAACGTGTCCAGCGCGTATTAATAAATGGCTCTTTTTCAGATTGGTCTATGGTTGAGAGTGGCGTGCCCCAGGGTTCTGTGCTAGGCCCCAGAGTGTTTAACCTGTTTATTAAAGGAGAACTATGAGGGGGGTGCTTTTCACTCACCTCATAGTTCTAGCCGACCTGTGACAATGAGACTGTCGCAGGTCGGCTCAGTAGATCGGGAGGTGAGCGAACATATACCGGCGTTCGCTCACCTCTCGATCCTGTCACGGCTCTCTGCCGTGACAGGGGAGGGGCTGGATTCCCCCCGCTCCGATCCGCCAGCGCTGACTGGCAGAACGGACGGGGGAGGGGCGTGTACAGCTGGCTCTGCCTCTAGATAGGCAGAGCCAGCTGTCACTCACGCAGCTGGGCGGATCTCGACATCGATGTCGGGATCCGCTGCGGCGTCTCAGTATTCGCGGTATACTGAGCTTAGGGTTACCGGAGGACGCTAGTTTGTGTCCTCCCGTTACCCTAAGGAGAACTATGGGGAAAAGCCCTGACCGCATAGTTCTCTAACGACATAACATTACAGGAGGACCTGAATAAAATAGGTGAGTGGGCAACTATATGGCAGATGAGGTTTAATGTTGAAAAATTTAAAGTAATACTTTTTGGTAGGGTTGCACAGATACCAAGTACAGTACTCGGTACAAGTACGAGTACATGTACCGATACTTTTGAGCTCAAGACTACACTAGAGAAATATTCAAAAATTAGGAGGCAGCTGTCATTTGTAAGGAGCACACGGAGCTCCTGGGACTTGTACATCTCTGTTTTAATGTATGATTTTGTTTTTATAAATATAAATAAAGGGATGCACAGATACCAGTTTTGTGAGTACGAGTACTGGTACTTGCCTACTACTTACAAGTACTGATACATTTTTGTTTATTGTCATGTGACAGTTTTTCTAAAACAATACAGACTAATGATTTCAGGACAGTGGTCGAGTGTCAGGGCCAGGTCCCAGTTGCAACCCTGGTAGTTCTCATGAAAATGCCAAGTATCGGCATTGGTACTCAAAGTATCTGTGCATCCCTACTTTTTGGGGTTAAAAACAGGCAAGCGGAATACACATGAACCACCTCCCGTCTGCCGATGTACAAAATGTTTAGTGGTGATGGCAACATCAACAATAAACTTTTTACAGTAAACTCCATAACAAGGACAAGAGGCCACCACCTAAAACTGGTGGAGGAAGGATTTATCCACAAAGTGTCTTTATTCAACCTAAAATACTATGCAACTATGTGTCTCACAACTCTGCGCTACTGTTTAGATGGCCTAGTGGCAAATTTCAGCCAAATTTCTGGGATGGACCCATTGCTCCATATACGCTGAATTAGATTGTTGAAATGTTGGTTCTCTGCAGGAATCTGCTAAAACGCATGTCCATCCCTGGAAGGATGACTCTGGTGAATTCTTGGATACTTAAATTAAAAAAGTCACAGGAAAAAGAGCACCTTCTTGTCTCAGAAGGAGCCCAAGGCTCCAAGAGCCAAGTCTTTCACTCCCTCCCTTAATAAGAGTTCCTTTTGTCCTTCCCAAGCATCGGCTTAGAAACCCAAACAGTGTATGCAATTTCACTAAGTCCTGGACCACTAAGGTGGTAAGCAAGTACTCTTCCTTATGAAGGGACGGCCCCCATTTCAAGTGTCCCTTAGCCCTTTGGCCACAGGATATTGGTAACGCCTGGGTCCAGAGAACCATATCATAGGTGCTTGAGACAGATGCCAACCTGTTCTGTTGAAGGGCCTCTTAGTCTGGGAGACCTGGTTGTCGGAGCAATCATGTTTCCTGAAAAACATCTTGGAGCTTAGAGCGATTTGGTTACCTCTTCATAGCAGCACTCCCAGATTTCAGGGTCATCCAACCAGAATCCAATCAGACAATGCAACAGCCGTGGCTTACATCAACCATCAAGGAGGAAGCCAAAGTTGTGCAGTCTAAAGGAAGTCCACCTAATTCTGGGCCACCATCTGGTCTTCATTCACACCTTTGCCAAGTTTAATCAAGTGGATGTTCAGGCTTCTGCTGGTATGCTAGTTTTGTCTAAAAGGTCCTGTGACTTGCTCTCACCTTTTTGTTAAGTTTTCTGTTTCTGGTGTTTGATCCCCTCTTGGTTGTTTGTTTTTTCTTGGGCCTGTTTGCTGTGGTTTTGACTGTTGCTCACCCTTCTGTTGGACTGCTTTTTAACATCCCAGTGGTCTATGAATGAGCTTCCCATGTCCTCTGATTTATGATTAAGAAAACAGAATTTTTTGTCTTACCTGTAAAGTACTTTTCTTGGAGTACATCAAAGGATGGTCCCCCTGTCTTATGTGATACCACTCTGTACTGCTTGGTTCAAAACTGAGGCGGAGTGGCAGGGGTTATGCAGGGCTTTCCTGCAGCTTTGGCTGATTTGCCATTGTAAAATCACCTAAAGGTTACTGCATAACCCAGTGATCTAAGAATTGAAGGAGAACTATGGGGTAAGTGTTTTTCCCCATAGATCTCCAAAGGGTCACGGGAGGACATAAACTAGCGTCCTCCCGTGACCCAAAGCTCAGTATACCGCGAACTACAGCTTGCGGTATACTGAGAATGCCACAGCCGGGACGGATCCCGACATTACTGTCGAGATCCACCCAGCTGCGTGATTGATAGCTGGCTCTGCCTGTCTAGAGGCCGAGCCAGCTGTACTCTCCCCCGTCCATTCGGCCTGTCGGCGCTGGAGGATCGTTTTTATTTGTATAACTCTTGCTCTAGAAATGTGGGTATCCTCTCTGAAAATGTAAAAAAAAAAATTTCAATCTCTGCATCTCATGTGCTTGTAGGAGTCTGCAGGAACTGGGAGCAAGCTATCTGGAGCTCATTTTTATAACAGACAATCTTTCAATACCAAACACAAGGAGAATGTAGAAAAGGGCTTTTATATCGAGCTCCTCCAGATCCAGAGGTCAGATAGGTTGTGATGTTTTTTTTTCTCTGAGAAGGACATTTTGGTTATTTTTGCATTGTTGGTTATAGTTTACAAAGAATTGTTTAACCTCAAAATTTTCGTATTCAGTCGCAGGCATGGCCAATAATTCTTCAAGGATTAGATCTCATTGGAATCGCTCAAACTGGCACTGGAAAAACACTGGCCTACTTACTACCAGGATTTATTCATTTAGATCTTCAACCGGTGTAAGATTTAAAAAAAATATTTTTTCTGTTGCATTACAATAATTGTCTTGTTTCGGGCGTAAGCAGCGGCGAGCGGGAAATTTGAATTTTAGCCGACGAATCAACGATGGAAAACGTTGACAACGTTTTCCATCGTCGATTTTAATCGACTTAATCGAATAACTGTTGCAGCTCTACATTGTTACCTGTTTTACTATTGTGTTGAACTTTGAACTAGTCCTACACTGACAATGTGTCTCTGTGCTATTACTCATATTTTAATAGACCTAGAAATGAACGTGAGGGGCCTGGTATGTTGGTCTTGGCTCCAACTCGAGAATTAGCCCTTCAAGTTCAGGCTGAGTGTTCCAAGTACAAATACAAAGGATTTAAAAGGTATGAATTTACTTTGATAACAATGTAGGGATTTTGTTTCATTCCAGTATACAGAAACTTTTTACCTATGTAGTGCATACACTGATGGAGGAATTAGACTCAAACACAGAATTTCAAGCTGTACATTTCACTAGATAGATTTTCTTTCCTTTTGCATGCCCAAATCCATAGCAGAACTAGTACTACCTGATATCGCGCTGTTTTACATGGCAGTACACTTTGTTAGGGTGGTGGACTGGTGCAGGCATAAAGCCTTGAAACAGTGTCTAGAAATAGAACAGACTTTGACTATTATACATCTTTATACCTTTATGTGCACCCATTACTCCTTCATGAGCTTAAAGGTTCACCCTTCTAGGGACCCTACTAATTAATGCCCCTCTGGGCTTTTGGAAAACCTTAACAGATTCATAATTTTCTAACCTTTGGCTTCCCCAAGATTACATTCCTGACCACTTAACTTTCTTTGAAACCATGTGCATTGAACATGGCCCCTTAAGACATACACTTTCTAAACTATGCTCTGCATAAACGTTCTCTTTCCTACAGAAATGGGAAACAGACCTACAGATAACTTTCATGGGAACAAGCAGAAAAAATACTATACTTTACTAATCCTAGATTATTCACAATTATCTAGGGCTGCAACCAACTAATCTATTCGATAATGAGAATAGTTGTCAACTATTCTCATTATTGATCAGTTGGTTAGATCGCCTAGTTCTCTCCTCCATGTTAGGAGGAAGGCACAGTAAGCAGTGGGTGGGAGCGTGCAATAGCCAGCCTGCTCTTGGCTATTGCAATTTGAAATATCCAATAGCAGGCTGGCTATTGCACCAGCCCTACCTGCTGTATTTACATTCAGCTGCCATCTGTGGAATCTTGCAACTGTCATTCCCTGGCTGAAGCTATTCCGGCGCCATTTGTGCTTGCAATACAATTATTTTTAAAAAATTATAAAAGGTGGAAAAAGTCAGTCATTTTCGGCCTGACAAATTCTTCTGCTGGAGGTGCGTTGCAGTGCCATTTATCTTAATGGCACCCAAGACGCGCCTCCCACCCACAATGCTTATCGCCCGCATTGGAACACACGGTCCTGCAATGCCCTGCGCTCCAGTGCAGTGCAATTGCAAAAACGTGTACATGCAGTTTTATTCTGAAGTAAACTTTGTAACACTGCATTTGTGTATTTTATTTTAAAATTAAGGATGACATTTATTTAACTTTTTGTTATCCCCCAAAAAAATCGGCCAAATAATCCATTATGAAAATAATCATTAGTTGCAGCCCTACAATTTTCAGGAACCAGGGATCAAACCCCTGACGTGGTATTGGGTCCCAAGTGTCTTACACTTCTGGTCCCTCTCCAAATCCTTTTGGAATTGTGGGGATAGAGAAGGCATCATTCTCAACACTTTTGGGGAATGCCCAAACGTGGAAGGTAATGGAGTCAAGCACTAAAGTTTACAGATTTTTAAATACCCCACAACCTTATGTTCCATCACAGTGTCATTCAATAGAAAACATGCAAATGCTTCCTTTAGTACACCTCTTGAATACCACTAAAGCTTGCATCCCAGCACTTTGGTGCAGGAAAAAATCCCCTGCCCTTTTGAGATTGTTTGCGAGAATCAATTACATCAAACTCATGGAAGATCTCTCGCCAATGATCAAGGAAACTATAGAATGTTGTATACTATATGCACTATTCATTTTAAAGTGTGTTCCCTAGCTAAATATGGAACATCCAAAAGGGGCCTGCAACTATATTTTTAACCCCTTCGTGACTGACAATGTACAGTGTACGTCGCCAGCATCGGGGCTGTTTAAACAGACTCCCGGTGACTTTTGCCGCTGGGACTCTGTTTAACCCTTTCGCTGCCAAGGACGTACGGCATACGGAGCTACAAAAGTTCTTCTGGCTGGCCAGCTCAGTATGCCGTACGGACCTGGCATTTACAGTAATACGCTCATGGTCGCTTTAGCTGTTCCCCGGACTGTCCCCTTCAAATTAATAGCTGTCATCAAAAATACCAGGCGCACCGCTGCTGCCGGCATCTGGAGTCTCTCATCCCTCCCTGGAGCCACCCCAGGGAGGGATGTGTGGGGGTCGGGGGACCAAGCGGCGGCTGGCCGCAATTCAGGATGGCTGAGCGGTGTTTTCCGATCCGAGCCGCTGTCATCCTGTCAGTTTTTGGATTACAGCGGCTCTGTAGCGTGGCAGAGCGGGGGGTCGTTAATATCATTTGATATTTAACGATCCCTCTGTTTACAGCAAACACCGGAGTGATCGCCTGATCACTCCGGTGTTTGTAAATAACTGGGGACACATAGTACTATGTGTCCTCAGTTATGAGAACAGGCTGTGATTTACATCACAGCCTGTTCATTCAAGAATTTATGAATGGGGAGAAGCACTCACTATATAGGCTCCTCCCCATTCAGAAACTAATGATAGTAAGATTTTTTGTTACCATCATTAGTTTGTGAATGAATGAGAAGCCTCTGTACTGAGTGCTTCCCATTCATTGTGTGCTGGGGCTGCAGAAAAAGAAATTGAGGACTTATGTCCTCCAATTTCTATTTCAAAAGGGAAATGTCAGGGGTCTATTTAGACCCCAGATATTTCACTGCAGCCCCCCCAACATTAAAGAAATAAAATAAAAAATTATTAAAAAATAAATAGAAAATGTAAAAAAAATAAAAAAACAAAAATGTAAAAAATAAATAAAATAAAAAAATGTGTACAAAAAAAATAATAAAAAAAAGCACAACCCCTCCCTCCCCCCACATAACATACACATATTGAGGTGTACGCCATGCACATGCGCTGCAGTGCGTTGTTAGAACGCATCGCAGTGCATGATCTTTTTTATTTATTTTTTTTCTTTAAAAAAAAACATTAAATTAACTGTGGCAGCGCATGGCAAAGCTTTGTGACTCATTGCCATGCGTTGTGATACCTTGTGTTGCAATTAAATATACACCTGTATCATTTTATCACAACACAAACACCAAAACAATTTTTTACATAAGTCGATTATTTACAGTTTTGCATACCTTCATTTTTTTACCTTTTCGCAAAAAGGCGCAATTACAAATTTGCTAATATTTGTTATTTATTAACTCAATACAGTTTTATCTTTTAGATTTAGTCAGAAAATAATTTTTTTTGTGCACGGATACTGATTTTGGTGTGTTTTAACAATTGAATTGTGTATTTTTATCGGTTTAATATTAATTTGAGAAACATTTGCGCAATTATCGCAGGGCCTAAAAATTTAGTATCACCATCTTTTTATTCTACCGGGCCTGCGCTTTCAGAAAATATATGGTTTGGGGGGTCTTTTACAAACGCTAGCAAGGCAGCAGTTGAAAATCAAATCAATAGGGAAAAATGCAAAAATGGCTTGGCCAACTGATCTGAAAAATGTTCCGGAGGGCTTAGCAGCGAAAGGGTTAAATTGTAGTGGGCTTGTAAGCCCCCCCATGTGATAGCAGTCAAAGTAAAGTTTTTTTAAAAACAGTTTTTAAAATCTCTAATAAATCTAATAATAATAATGAAAAAATGTTAAAAGTCCCCCGCGAGCACGCGCGTCGCCACGTAAACACGCGTCGGGTGGGCCTACGTATGAAAATGACGAACGCGCTACACATGTTGGGTATCGCCGCGCACGCCGGAGTGAGAGCAATCATTCTTTTTTAAGTAATTTTCAGGCCTAAAATGTGGAATATAACATGGGTGCAAAAAAATGAAAAAAAAAAGGCCTCAGTCATGAAGGGGTTAAAGTATTTTTTTTTGTTCTCCAAAAGTTTGCTTTAAGGGTTGTTAATAGCCTCTTTTAGCTCTGCTTCCATTTTATTTGTTATCATGGCAGCAACAGGAAGTTACATTGTTTTCC